TGCGCACCATCATAGTGTGCCGCCATCAGGGCTGGTTCTTCTGCTCAGCGTCATGTTTTGTTGCAGTAGTTTGTTATTATTTATTATTGAGTAATGAGTAATATTCAAGTCTGCCAATATTCTGAGTTCAATTTACAGTTTTTCAAAATCTCAGACATAAGCTGAGATTTTTAATTGTATTCCTTTCTTCCTATGTAAAACACACACACACACACACACACACACAAACAAACAAACCCACAAACATTTCTTCTAAGGACTGCTTTGGGTGTGTTCTATACATTTATATACGAGGCTTTTATCACCATTAAATTCATACTAGTTTTAAATTTCCATTGTGATTTCTTCTAATTTAGAGAAGTGTTGGTTAACTTCCAAATATCTGAGGATGTTCTAAGTAATTTATTAGTATCAGTTCCTAAGGTAATTTAATTGTGGTTAGGTAACAAGCTGTCTGGTTTCACCAAGACGTTATCATGTGGAAGACGCTCTCTCTTAGAGATGTCCCCCTGTACAAGGTGAATGTGCGGTTGTGCCCTCACATACTGCACGGACTGTCATTAGGCTACTTTCACTGACAGACTTGTTTGAAACTTCTATACCTTTGATATTTTTTTCCATTTATTTAGCCAATTCTTGAAAATGTTTAAAGACAACTAAAACTGAGGATTTTTCTCTTTTTTGTTTCTGTCAGTTTTTGCTCATTGTGTTTTGAATCTCTAATGTACCTTCCTACGCATTTAGTGTTTTATGTCTTCATGATAAATTGACCCTTTATATTTAAAAAAAAAAGTTTCTTGTCTCTTGCAGTATATAGCCTACTTTGTATGATATTAATAGAGGAATTTCAGGTTTATTATGCCTACCATTTTCACATAATATCGTTTCCCATCCTTTTACTTTCAACCTGTCAATTTATTTATTATTAAAAAACAAGAGGCCTGGTGCATGAATTTGTGCATGAGTAGGGTCCGGCCAGCCTTCCCCGATGGGGACTAATTGGGCCGGACCAGTGAGGGGTGGGGATCAGTGGCAGGGCTGGCCGGGCAGGTCACAGGAGGTTGGTTGGCCTGCCCCAACCCCAACTGTGATAGGGGGGTCAGTTGGGGGTGGGGCCGACCTGGGGGAAGGGCTACAGGGAGTTGGGGGGGGAGGGCAATCAGGGCCCCAAGCAGGCTGGTTGGCTGCCACAGTGCACATAATAGTGACCTGTCATTCTGGTCATTCCGTCATTCCAGTAGCTTGGCTTTAATATATATAGATGAGTATCACATACAAAGCTCACAGACAGGCCCTGACTGGTTTGGCTCAGTGGATAGAGCGATGGCCTGTGGACTGAAGGATCCCAGGTTCGATTCCTGTCACGGGCATGTAGCTTGGTTGTGGGCATATCCCCAGTAGGAGGTGTGCAGAAGGCAGCTGATCGGTGTTTGTCTCTCATCGATGTTTCTAACTCTCTATCCCTCTCCCTTCCTCTCTGTAAAGAAATCAATAAAAAATATTTAAAAAAAAGAAAGCTCACAGACAGGTCTTTTTAAAAAATCTAGACTTGCCATTTAACTGGAATTGCACTCAACTTTTTAATGTTATTATCAATAGGGTAAGCTTAAGTATACTATTGTAAAATTTATTATTATTTTTTCCTGTTATTTTTCCTATTTTTTCTCATTTGCTGCCTTATTTTATATTAGACCAAGACTATTCTTGCTCTTTGTTGTTGTTTTCCAGCATTTCATCTTTGCATATTTATTGCCTTTTTGACTTTACCTTTTATTTTATTTTTATGAATCTTGAACTTATTGTAGTTTACCTCAAATCGATATCATATTGTTTTATATATAATGCTAGGGCCTTTAATAATATAATTTTATTTATCCTAAATTTCATCCTTCATGTTTTTGTTGACAAACGTTTACTTCTACATATGTCATAAATACCATAATACATTATTTTTATTTCAACTATGTGTTGACTTTTAAAATGTTTAAGAAAGGAAAGAAAACTAGTCTTTCATTTTTACCCACATATTTACCACTTTGAGTGCTTTTCATTCCTTTCTATACACTGAAATTTCTATATGGCATCAATTTCTTCTGATTGTAGGACTTATTTGGCAATTCTTTTTTTTTTAAATATATTTTATTGATTTTTTACAGAGAGGAAGGGAGAGAGATAGAGAGTTAGAAACATCGATGAGAGAGAGACATCGATCAGCTGCCTCCAGCACATCTCCCATTGGGGATGTGCCCGCAACCCAGGTACATGCCCTTGACTGGAATCGAACCCGGGACCCCTCGGTCCGCAGGCCGACGCTCTATCCACTGGGCCAAACCGGTTTTGGCTTATTTGGCAATTCTTAATGGCAGGTTATAGGTCATAAACTATCTCAGCTTTTGCTTATAAAACATACTGCTGTTGTTTGATTTTTTTTTTTTTTTTAGATTTAAAAGTTATTTTTGCTGGAGATAGAATAATACGATAACAGTTTCCTACTTTAACAATTGTCAGTCTTCATTGTTTCTCAGCTCTCATTTGTATTGTTGTTAAATTACTGCAGCCATGCAGCTGTCTTGGGTATGCATTAGCTTTAAAGAATCCAACAGGGCCTTGGAATTCACAGGAGAGTGAGAAGATCTTTCCTTGTTTTTCATCTCCACCTACAGCTTCCTGCATTGCTATGTGGTGCTTGTCTTTGATCTTGTCAGAAGGTGAACTTGGTGAGAGTTTAGTCTTAGCTTCCTCTATGCTCTACCTGCCACCGCCTTTAATGTTTCTGAGCTGATTGTAGGCTTCTAGCTCCAGGAGGGCCCTGGGACCATACATTACACACTTTGAGATCTCAGAAGTTTGGGTCTGCTTGGACATGAAACTGTGAAACTATGAAACTGCAAATGATAAGGCCCTGGGTTAGTGGGGATTTTTGAAACTGTGAAATTTATGATTAAAAGACTGAAAGACAGAGGATTAAGTTGATTGAACAATGTTATATAATCATCCAGGATATTGTCCCCTTAGATGTGAATTCAGGATCCTCTCATTGGAACACACAATGCATGAGCAGAGGGATCCTATAAAGGACTCCATGCTCACAAAATAAGTATTTTGTCTGGAAATATGCAACCAGGACCTGAATATCAGTTTAAAATGCACTCAGTCTACTAATTGATAGAACCCAGAGAGGGCTCCCTATCACCCCATTGAAAGTTAAGTTGGTAAAAGATGTTCCTGACCCAGGGACTTCACAGGGCTGGGGATGGGATATAGCACATGTGACTGAGGGAGTCCAGAGGAATGAGAGGCTCTCCTGCTAGATTGTAGCAAAATGTGAAATGCCTTCACTCTATCCAAAACAATGCAAAATCGCAGAACTATCATGCCCCACCCCCCCACCAAAAATAAAAAGAAAGCCTGTATATATCAAAGAAGTATGAGTGCAAGTGAATTTTAAAAAGAACTATATAAGGAAGAGTCCTTCCTAAGTGAGCAAGGGATTGAGGGAATGTTATACCTGTGTCAGTTGCTAAAGTTAGGAGTGAGACATATGGAAGGACCAGCCTGCCAAATAAAGATATTCTTTTTTTGATAAAGAGAAATTGGGAAAAACTGAGAAATCTGTGGATTGTGAGATTTGAATCTTGAGGAATTTCTCTCCACCAATACATTCGCTTCCACAAGGGTTTTGCTGCAGATACAGCTGAAAAATAGGAAGTGGCTTTTTCATAAGTCATTTTGTAATTTTAATGATTATATCAATTGTGTAATGTCAGAGTTATTAGCTAGTATGTGTTTTGTATGCAGCACAAATGTCAGATTGTTCAAGGTGTCCTAGATCCACAAGTGTTTAAAGATACACCAGGTTGAGTTTTGGGTCTTTGAAAAGAGATTTCACTAAATAGATAAAGCATTTACTTGGTGTTCACTTTGGTCATTAGAGAAACCAATGGGTCTTTTACTTACTGGTTGGCTTGAAGGGTACTAGCCAGCAGGCTTTAGCTGTGAATAGTTGAGTCAGAAAAGAGGCAGATGATGACTGATAAGAAAGCAAGCAAACAGTGTGCTAGCTGGGCACGTACAATTGGAATGATGGGTTCTGTGGGTGGATAGTGGTGATGGATGGCTGAACAATGTGAATGTACTAAATGCCATTGAAGTATAGAATTTAAAATGGTAAAATTTATGTTGTGCATATTTTACCCTAATGAGAAAATAAAAATTTCAACTCCAGAAATCATTTATTCAAATGAAAGCTGGGAGGTATAATTTTAGCTTCCATGTTTTATGTTCCTTTGCTTAAATTTCACAAGGAACTTGGGAAAGGAATTACATAAAAATTGGATCCTCCTGTTTCCCATCTAATAACAGTCACCCTAGAATCTTTGAAGAGTCTGGGGCTGTAGAAAACCCACAGGCTTAGGAATAGGAAAACATTGGCATTGGGTCACAGGCCCACTACTAGTATTAACTAAATAGATAATTTGAAGACTTTTCTCCTCCCCCCCCCTTTTTTTTTCTTTCTGGCGTCAGTGTTTTGTTTTGTTTTTAACTGGAAAATGGTAATAATGGAAAGTGCTTAGCATAGTGACTGCCCTCAATTATTAGTAACAATTACTTAAAAAATGCCGTTCCTTCAAGAGGGCACTGCCGGTGGTTTCCCATCCCACAGTGATATGAGCATCAGGGATATCAAAGCCTCATTGCATTACCCACTTTCTAACGCTTCTAGGTGTCACATCGTATGACTTGCTAGGATTGATTTATTGATAAAACCGAGGGCGGGATAAAAGAATAATGTACAGTGTTTCCAAAAACATATAACAACATATAATGCAGAGTTTTCAGCCCCGTCTGATTTCCTTTGAAATACCTGTGGAATTGAGAATGTCCTTGGGCAGGCTTGGTGGAATAACATGAGTGGGTCTGCACTGCTTCCCCTGGAGCTCTGGCATGTGAAGGAGACACCCCACGAGTGACAGATCTCACTGGGCCTCTTCTCTCTGCAGACCTTTGCTGGGAACACGAATGCAGACGGCGTGATGCACCATAGGCTGCTGCACCCAGTGAGAGCCCGGTTTGTGCGCTTTGTGCCCCTGGAGTGGAACCCGAGTGGGAAGATTGGCATGCGGGTTGAGGTCTATGGATGCTCCTACAGTAAGTACCCACGTGGACCGTCAGCACTGGTGTCTTTGGGAGGGCACTATCCACACAGTGCCAGTTTATCTACATGGAGAATGGCAATCTCAACCGGTTTACATATTCTATGGGCTTTAATAGCCTATAAACATTGAAAATGTGAAATTCAACCCAGGGAAGAGAAAAAACAAACAAACGCTTCTTCTATTTAGAAATGAAGGAGTTTCGTTCGAGGTAACAGATGATGATAGCTTAACAACAACAACAACAACAAAAAAACAAAACAAAAAAAAGTTCAAAATTAGCGGCTTTTGAAGTTTGAGTTACCATTTTTCCTTGCAATAAGATAATAATATAAGCTCAGTTCTTTCCTAGCCGCGGGTGAGTATGAGATAGTTCTCCCCTTTCTCAGAGCCAGGAGGAGAGAAAGAAAACTTCCCCTGTTCACTTCTCTACAAGAGAAGGAGAAGGAACATTTCCACCCAGGGCACCCTGGGTTCTCTGTCCTGGAATTATGCTGCCATTATTTTCTCTGGGAGTTGTTTGCACTGAATTTAAAATCAGAGCCTATCTTGTATATAGAGAAGATTGTAAACATGGGTAGGACAGATGACCACTCTAAAAGAAGGTCAAAATTATATAAGAAAGTTTTCCACCCCAATAATTCTCCTCCTTCAGGTTTTATATTTAAATCTAAAATTGTGTAAAAATAGATAGTTTTCCTGCCTTAGCAGTGACATATATGCTATGACTTCTAATAAATAACACATTTGATCACTATCACTTTAGTATAAATTAGTTGAATAGATTCATGGTTTGGGTGACAAGAGAGCCTAATGGGTTGCATGTGTGTATTCTTTCCCACTGTTTGACCAGTAAGTACCTGCAGAATCATAGGAGAGCTTCTTAAAAATGCATTTTCTTAGCCCTGTCCTGTTCACACTGGACTACAACTTCTGGGGGTAGGGATTCAGAAAGCTGAGTGTTCACAAGCTCCCCAGAGATGCTATGGACACAGAGTGTTACTGAAAATAAAGTAATGCACAGAGGAAATTCACTTCTGAAATAACTGTCTGTATCTTGACCAAGCCCTTTCAGGAAGAATGTGTTTTACAACAGAGGGGTTGACAAACCATTATGTCAAGGAGATGCTGCCGTCCACAGCAGCCTTCACAGCACAAAGCTCAGGACATCTATATACACAGGCCACCCATCCCAGCATCCTGGGCATCCAGATTATCTCATCGCCTCTTTTCTCTGTTTTAATAATCAATTAATTAATTTTATTTAATTGTATTTAGCATATGATATTATATTAGCTATATTAGTTTCAGGTGTACAATATAGTGATTTGAATATAGCGATTTGATATTTTTACAACTCATATTGTGATTACCACACTAATTCAAGTATTCATCTGTTGCTAAGTATTATTACAATATTATTATCCTACATAATAAAAGCCTAATATGCTAAGTGTCTGATCATCCAATCATCCATTCAACCAATCAAAGCATAATATGCTAATGATATGCTAAGGCTGCTCAACCGCTTACTAAGATGTGCACTTCCAATCAGGGGGCATATGCTCTGACAGGTAGGTTAACTTGCTGCTAGGGTCTGGCCCAGGGGTGGGCAAACTTTTTGACTCGAGGGCCACAATGGGTTCTAAAACTGGACTGGAGGGCCGGAACAAAAGCATGGATGGAGTGTTTGTGTGAACTAATATAAATTCAAAGTAAATATCATTACATAAAAGGGTACAGTCTTTTTTTTCCAATAGTTTTATTCATTTCAAACAGGCTGGATCCGGCCCGCGGGCTGTAGTTTGCCCACAGCTGGTCTGGCCTATCAGGACTGAATGAGACAGGCTGGACATGCCCTGGACCCCTCCCACACCCCTCCCCAACCCCAATCATGCCCCGCCAGCACCCTCTCGCAATCCAGGACCCCTTGGGGGATGTAGGAGAGCCAGTTTTGGCCCGATCCCGCTCAATGCAGGAGCTGCACCCTGGTGGTCTGTGTGCTCCCACAGGGGGAGTGCCGCTCAGCCAGAAGCTGTGCTCACAGCAGGCAAGCGCAGCACCAGTGGTGGGAGCCTCACCCACCTTCTCGGCAGTGCTAAGGATTTCCAACTGCTGGTTTAGGCCCACTGGTGTCAGCTGGACATCCCCTGAGGACTCACGGACTGTGAGAGGGTACAGGCTGGGCTGAGGGACCTCCTGCTCTGAGTGCATGAATTCCATGCACTGGGCCTCCAGCTGTCTATATTTCTCATCACCTTTTTCACCCAAGGCCCCATCCCTTTTGTCACGATCCCTTTGATCCTTCTTTCTATGAGTCTAATTTTGTCTTGTTTTATTTGTTTATATTCCATATATGAGTGAAACCTTATGGAATTTGTCTTTCTCTGTCTGACATATTTCACTTACCATAATACTCTCTAGGTCCATTCATGTTCTCATAAATTACTAGATTTTATTCTTTTTTTAATTGCTACATAATATTCCATTATAATTGTAAGGCCTGAAACCATAAAAGTTCAAGAAGAACACATAGATAGTAAACTATTTGACATCAGTTGAGTAATATCTTTTTGGATATCTTCCCTTGAGCAAAGAAAACTAAAGCGAAAATAAACAAATGGGACTTCATCAAACTAAATCATTCTGTACAGCTAAAAAAACCATCAACAAAACAAAAAGACAACCTACTGAATGGGAGAATATATTTGCAAATTATATATCAGATAAGGGTTTGATATCCAAAATATGTAAGGAATGCATACAACTCAATAACAAAAGATAAACAGCCCAGCTGGCATGGCTCAGTGGTTGGTTAAGTGTGGACCTATGAATCTAGAGGTCACTGTTCGATTCCCAGTCAAGGTTTATGCCGTGTTTGTGGGCTTGATCCCCAGTGGGGGGTGGGGGATGTACACGAGGCAATTGATCAATGATTCTCTTTCATCATTGATGTTTCTATCTCTCTCTCCCTCTCCCTTCCACTCTGAAATCAATAAAAATATATTTTAAAAAGTTAAACAATTCAATAAAACTTGGGCAGAGGACATGAAGAGACATTGTTCCAAAGAAGAGAAACAGATGGACAATAGCCATATGAAAAGATATTCACCATCAATAATCATTAGGTTAATAAAAATCAAAACCACAATGAGATACCACCTCATACCTGTTAGAATGGCTATAATCACTAAATCTACAACAACAACAAAAATGTTGGTTAGGATGTGGAGATAAAGGAAACTTTTATGTACTGTTGATGGGACTGCAAATTGGTGCAGATGCTATGGAAAACAGTAGGGAGATTCCTCAAAAATCTGAAAAGACTAGATCTACTATAAAACCAGCAATTCTGCTTCTGAGTATTTATCTAAAGAAAATTAAAATGGAATCCAAGAAGACATGTGAAGTCCTATGTTCTTTGCAGCATTATTTACAATAGCCAAGATATCCTAGGTGTCCATTGTAGGATGAATGATAAATGGATAAAGAAGTTGTGGTATGTATGTTGCTACATCTTCTCTTGATGACAGTTGTTACTACTAGAGGGTTAATTTTTAAGTATAACATGAACCTTTTATGCTGAACTACTTAACTCTTCAACTATCTATTTTGGTTTAATAACCCCATTACGTGTTAACATGTCCTCATATTTTTGTGTTCTCTCAGTCCAGTCCATTGTCCTTGTTTTTTATGGTGGTGTTGCTGCAAGGAAGACTCATACTATCAAGTTAAATAAAAGACTGAAAATTTGAAGAAGACCTTTGAGAAGCATGCCTAGCTACCCCTGGTGTGGATCTCTTTGTTAATATGATGGCAGCAAGGGATCCTCTCTTAAGTAAAGTGCCTATAGTGATAAGAAAATTGTTCTACAATATCTGGAGGTTCATAGATCTGCTAAAGCCTGATTCTCAACCAAGCTAAGTGTTTTTGTCTTTGAAGTAGCTCAATACTATGTGGACTCCTCTCCAGGCATGCTCCATGTCTAGTAAGTACATCTAAGGGAATAAATTACCTCCAGGTAAATATCCTAGTGATGAGCAGTTAAGCACCTTCAAGTGCTGTTGCACACAGAATGTCCTCTGTGATGGTCCTCGAGCTGGTGCTCCATGGTCTTTGACCGCTAGTCCTGTGCGTTGATGCTTTTTCCTTCAGAAAAAAAGAGAAAGTTTCAGTTTCTCTCCAAAACCAACATCTCAGCGTGTCCTTTGAATCAGAAACTCCCCTTCAACCTCACCCATCCCCCTTTTTTACTGGGTTATTCCTTTAAACATACAATTTTGCTGTCTAAGCTATCAACCAAAACAAGGACAACAAAGCCCATGACCCTGTTTATCAGCTTACTCTCCTCCTCTCCCCTCTTCCTCACAGAATAGCCTGTCTCCAAACCTTGTCTTTGTTAGGATCCCATCTGCTCACCTCCCTTCATACTGCAAGTGATTTCAGTGGGTCTTTAAACATGTGGTGGTCAGTTTAATGTGTCAATTTAGCAAAGCAATAGTCCCCCGTTATTCAACCAAACACAAATCTAGGTGTTACCTAGGTGTGGTTAACATATATAATCACAATCATTTGACCTTGAATACAGGATATTAGGCTCCATATTCTGGGTAGGGCTGATTCAGTCACTGGGTAGGTTCTATGATCAGAGGGAGATTTCCCTGAGGAAGAAGAAATTCCAGCTGTGGATTGCAGCTGCTGTTCCACCTGAGCCCAGTCTGCCCAGGACACAGCACTGATCCTGTTTCTCTTGATTGAGGCAGGTGCACCATAGCAACTGCTTCAGTCAAGACTTCCAGTGACCTCCACACAGCCAACCTAATGGTCACCTCATTGTTCTCACTCTACTCAACCCTCAGTTGTATTTGGTTCAATGAGCTATTTCTTCTTTCTAAAAACCTGCTTCCCCTTCTCTCTGACTTGTTAGTTCTACTCAGTCACAGACTGTCTCAGGACTTCCACTTTCCATATACCACACCCCCAAACCTAGCTGAA